TCTGAGCACACATTAAACAACTACTTCCTTACTGTTGCAATGGCAGAACACTGGCAATGCCCTCATCTCTCCTGCCTTACCTATAGCATGTACAGGGACACTGTTTCAGTGGTTTGCATTTTATTCCTTACAGCTGCAGGCCAGGGTTTAAGGTTGTAAATTGGGGATTCCTGGGTTAACAGCTGCATGCGAAAGCAGGGGACTACGCTTGATGGCCCAGAAAGACCCTTCCAGTCCTACGTTCCTAATTAAGCATGGTGATAAACTTATTCACCGAGTACCAGCACACAATTTGAAGTAGATGTGGAACATACCATATCTTAATGCAGTGGTCACCAACCAGTGGATCTCGATCCACCAGTAGATTTCAGAGCCTCTTGGAGTCAGTCTGAGGCTGGGGTGGGGGCTGAGTACCCGTGGGCATGCACACATGCACCCCAGCCCAGCAAGTCAGGCTGTGGGGGAGCGTTGGGGGGAGGGGGGGCTAGATCAAGGCCCCTGTGGTGAGGGACAGTGCCACAGAGGCAGGAGCAGGGGTAAGTTGAGTAGGGCCCTGGCCAGGTGGGACTTCCCTGCTCGGGAGGCATGACCCCAAATAATTTTTTTCCCTCGCCTCGATCTGCCCCCTACACAGACTTACCTGCCAAGTGGGGGAGTGGAGTGGCAGCAGTGCACAGTAGATCTTGGGTTGCTTTTAAATGCCACAGGTGATCTCCTACTTTAAAAGGTTGGCAACCACTGTCTTAGTGTGTCCCTTTCCTTTAACCTCCAGTCCAGTTATCTAACCCCCAAAGGGAAAACTTTTGATTGCTAAACAAGAGAACAAAAATATTACTTATAAATCCAAGACAGAATTAATTACACCATTTTAGTACTTTGACCCACTTCACTTCTTACTTTTTATTCAAGCTATTATGTAACTATGATAGTATTCCTCCCATATTTCTCTCCAATAACAATGGAATGCTTGCATACCAGGTACATCTGGCAGTGTTAAAGGTGCATTTTTTCCCTAAAGTCTACACAACAAGAATCAGCAAATAAGCAATTAACATCAAACTTTTATGTACTACTGAAAGGAACAAAGTTAAAGACTATACTTCTTAGAGCTGCACCCAGAAGATAACCCCATCTTAAGTGGGCAAGCTTAATGAATTAAATATTTTGCTGACCATGTACATTTAGTCTTCAGCCTCCTGCAACTTGAGCATTAAGAGCAATACATTATGACTGTATCTTCCAGAGAGAGGAAAAGATAAAATAGTTAACCGGGTTCTCTCATTGCTGAGCAGACAAAATACCACCAACCAGCAGAATTGAGGTAAATTATTGTATTCTTCCTCCATTAAAAATGTTATGTCTCCTCACATCAAAGCAATCCTCTGCTGAAAAAGAGCAAAATGTGTTTTGCATTGTAAATGCTAGAACACACAGGTAAAACAATGGAAAACAGATTTTTTTTAAAAAAGTATAACTATTAAGAGCCCCACTATATTAAATAATCAATAGATCACTTAGTCATTTAAAAATAAATAAATACAATTCTACTGTTATGACGTTATATCATTAAATATTATGATTCTGGTGTTAAAATTAAAAATACTTTAAAAACTAACAAATTTGAAGTTGAAATGGAATGTCCATATTGGATAAATACCAAAATGTACTAAAATAAGTATATCAGATTCACCCAAGAATCTTGTCTGCCTATGTCTTTAGACCAACATGGCTACAACCTATACCTCTAAAATAAGTATAAATCTATTAACTTGAACTATTCTCCTAAACTTTGCCTTGTCAAAGAATGTGTGTTGAATATTATAATATGAAAGGAAAAGAATGCACTAGTCTTCCAAATCTTTAGTCAGAGTTTGAATTTGTGTACTAAGCAAAACAGGTCAAATGAATTTCATGATCTAAACACACGTCTTCTGGCACATCTACATTACAATCAATTTATGTTGAAATTTTTGTTGGGAGGCCCAAGGTGTAACAGAAAAAAACTAAAACCTAGGCAATTCTGCTAATATACAACTTTGTACATCTCCCCACAACTAGCCAGCCAGTGCTTACCATCATGAGTACTAAACACATCACAATGTAAATAAATGTTTCTTAGTGTTTCTGCCTTCACAGTCCAACTTTTATAATTCATTATTATGACAACTGTATGATAAGGTTGAAGTACATTTTTAAGATACTCCACAATCAGAAAAAACCCCAAGAATAGCATCAAAATACATTATTACATTTATCTGCAGACCAGAATTCTCTCCTATACATAAGGCACATCTACACAAGATGTTAACTACACAGTTGACTAATTAGCTATACAGTAAACATCTCACATCTACACATGTGCTCTATTAGCTTGGAGTAAACTAATTTACTCCACAGCAGGACAATACTTGTAAATACTCTGCAGCAGTGAAGATGCTGGAGGGGCTGGCTCTGGCGCAGGCAAAATATGACCCATGGGCTGGATTCAGCCAGCCGGGCCATTCTATGTAGCCCACAGGACCCCTAACAAAAGTAGAAAATTAATTATTATCTTCCTGTGGCTGCCTATCAAAGATGACAAGGTGCCAACAGCAGCAGGACCCAGGAGGAACAGACAGCAGGACCCAAAGGGAGCACCAGCCTCACCTCACCTCCCAGCCTTGCCTCACCCCCAGCCAGAAGCTTCTGCCTGGCAACCCTGGGGCTGTTCCCCACCTCCCTCCACCCAAGAGTGGAGAATCAGATAAGAACAGGTGAAGGTGGGTGGCCAGCCAGGAGCCATCACCACACGGTTCCCAGCTGGCTCCTGCTGCTGCTTCTATCACAGAGGCTGCGCACCTGCAGCTCCAGGGGAACCCCCACACTGGAGCCAGCTGCCTTTCCTGCCTCCTCCTGTGCATGTCTGCAGACTCCATCCGGAGTGGAGGGAGCCCTGCCCCCTGCTTTCCTGCAGAGTCCAGCACGGCACTTCCCCTGGTACAAGTATGGGAGCTGCAGGCACATAGCGTGGAGCCCCTGTGATAGAGGCTGCAAAGCAGGCTGCACTCCGCACCACATGCAGCACAATATAAAAGAGGGAGACTTATTTTTTAGTTATTATGCAATCCCTTCTACATACAGTATACAAACACAAATCATGTCAAATACTTTTTGTAATAAAATTCAAATATGTTTTAGTAAGTGTTTGACTTCTAGTATAAGATTAGGTTTTTTTCTTATTCTAAGACAGCAACCTACCCTCCCAAAAGAGTATTTCTGGGAGGCAAGGGGAGGGACTTCTGGTGGCAAAGGTCAGGTATTAGGGGCAGGGCTTCAGGTCCCAATATGGTGACCAGGGGGCAGGGCAACTGCCAAGAGGCAAGGCTACGCATGCGGCCCTTGACAGCTCACCAAAACTCATTAAGTGGCCCTCTACATAAAATAATTGCCTGACCCTTGGCTGGATGGAGCATGAGGGTGCTTCATTGCAGGGGCTACCTGCCAGCTAGCCCCACACTAAAACTCCCTCGTGCTCCAGCCATCCACTCTACAGCATGTTCTGCTGGGGGGAGCAGCACCGGGCTGGTAGTCTGCCACCAGGAGCCTCCTGCAAGCTGGGGCTGCCCCACCTCAGCTCCATGTGCTGCGCATGAATAAACTGTGGAGCTTATTACTCCAGAGTTGATTGCTCCTGGGTGTACATTCAAATGGCATGCCTGGGAGCACTAAACTCTGGAGCTATAAGCTCCGTAGTTTATTCGTGCAACCTAAGTGCACGCATAGTTGTGCCCATATATTTACAGCTAAGTACCCCCAACACAATCAGTGGGCTACAAATAATTGACATACCACTGTACTATTTCTTAGGTATTTTTTCTTCAAAGGTAATGTAGTGTTTATTAAAGGTGCCATCTGGACAGCACTGAAAAAGAAATTCCTTCTAGTAATGCACAAAGAAAACACAGCATGCACAAGAGTGGTCCTCATAATATATGCATTAGGAGTAACAGGCAAAATATCATTCTAGTTTCCACACTAATTCTTCAGTCCTTGAAATCTTCACTGAACCGGCCAAGAAGAATGCCAGTTCAGATATGCTGACTATAAATACCACCAAAAGCAACAAGGTCCTACACACCTCGTACACAAGAGTAACTTTCAAACACCTCCACAAAAGAATAATGTTCTAAGATTCTCTAATAGAGGATCACAGAATTATGGGGCAGTCCACATTTTTTTTTGTATCTATTATGTCTAAGCTCTTGTCTTTATATTAATATTTATTATCTTAGCATAATACATATTACCCATTCCAATATAGTTTGTGAAGTTTAATATTCTGAAAACACAAATTATGCATTGAAGAGATAAAAAAGTATCTAAGGAAAATATAAAAATATATGCTCCAAAAAGACTTTCCGGAATAAAAGTTGCCTGGGTGCAAAGAAAGAAAAAGTTACACTTGCTGTCAGTCATAACTGCCAAAATAAGAGGGGCAAAAGCAGCATCCCTCAGTGATTATACACATGAAAGATCATTATGGAAGACATTTAAAGAAATAAATGCCATTCAGTGGTATCATGATGTCACTAAAAAAACCCTGATATGATGTTGGTATGTTATATAACTCTAGACCTTCAAATACATTAACTAATTTTAAGCTTAAAAGCTAAATAAAAAAGTGATCATGCATTTTCATGGAAACTGTGTCAAAATGATTTCCACAGAAGTCTTAAAAGTAACATTCCTGTGAGTCATAATCTAATGACTAGAAATACATACAAAATAAAACTGGAAAAAAAAATTAAGATGTGAACAAAAGGCAGAATCTGTGTATATTGCCTAGCTATTTTTAAAGCTAGTGAACAACAATTTATCAACTTACACGCTTATTTCAATAGGACTACTCATGGGAGTAAGCACTACACTGGGTAATAAACGTGGAAAGGACTAGCCAATAAAGGACGAACTTCCTCAAATTAATTCTTGTCTAAGCCTGCAATACCTGTTCAAGACCATGCAAAAATTTGATACAATAGCTAAAAGCCTGCACTTTTTAATTCCACACACCCAAACTGATGAATCCACACAGAAGTCATTTTACATATCACATTTTTCCTTGGTACCTTTTGAAACAGCTAAGCTAGTGAATCATTAAAAATAGAATGTATTTATGTAACAGAAATACTGCTGACAAACCCTTTATTTTAGTAAAACTCATAGAAAGCTATAACAAAATGTAGCTGCTGATGAAATAAATATGAATTATTCTTTATCTGTGCTGTTACTACACCGTAAAGTTACCATTTTTCTAAATTATTGTTTACATCTGCTAAAAACACTGTCCCTATGTAGAACAAACATCCTGGAAATTGCATTTATCCACTGAATTTTTACAATTGTAACAAAATAGACGATGTTAAATCTGCAAGCTATATGCTATCCTAAGCTTCATTACCTCAACATCTAAAAGTCAAAGAATTCCTCTATAAAACTGAAATTCCCAAGAGGAGAAAAGCTCAGATCCTGTCTGCAAGCACACAATGGAATCACAGCTGACGATGCACATCTTTTTCTGGATGTCTCCATATGCTCAAGAGGGTTTTTTTTTTCCACTCTCTCTCTGTCCCTCCCTCTCCCCCTCCTCCTCCTCCTCCCTGCCATGCATTAAGGGATTTGTCACTATCTCCCACCAGGAATATGAGAATGGTTTCAATGACTGAAGAGAATGAAGTAAAATAATGTGTTAAACTTGAGAATTTTAAAAAAAGTGAGGGCAAATGCCACAGCAGCCATCTAAATTAACTGAGAGGGGCAAAAGGGTGGGAGAATCTGCAGTAATAGATGTATGAACAGAATAAATACAAATGTCACCCTTTTCTTCCCAGTTTCAAATGTTAATGTCAGTACAATGTAAAACTATGTACTGTAACAAAATGCATCCAACCTTCACTCTTAAAAACAGGAACAAGAGAAATGTCAAGTCTTCATGTAGGTCTATTGTGTATAATCGAAAATACTTTACTAAAAAGAAAAATGCACAGATTTGACAAATACTATGCTCACACTGGATTATGTTTTTATTTTATTACTTTGAGAAACCTGTGGCAATAAAAGTATTAAGGAAAAAGAACACAACAAACATGCAGTGTTTGGATCAACACAGTGTTCTTTATTCAGAGCATGTTCAGAAAACAAAGAGAATGTTTGTTTTATTCAATTTAGAACTGAATAAAAAAAAAAAAATGAATGGATGGTCTCCGCACAGCCCAGATCTCAGCAACTTCTATGGTCGCCAAGATTCTGATTTAAGATTCTAGCATGAGCTCCACTTTATCACAAAACCACAGCTTCTGTCAATATACCAGTGACATCATCAACAAAGGAAAAGAGCAGAAGACAGTGGGCATTGTAATAGCAGCTGTCTTTTTCAATGACTTTGTTATCCCTGTAG